CGGCAGGTTTTGGGGTGTTTTTTGGCCCGTTAGTCTACGTAATTGAAAAACAATAGCGACCTTTCTTATACCCTTAAGAACATGTGTACCAATTTTCAAAGCGATCGGACGTTTCTAAACAAAGTTATCGTGTACACGGACAGACGGATAGACAGGCGGATCATACAGCCTTCTAAAAATTGATAATTTTTTTTCCAAAAAACTGAAATTCGAAGATTTGGGCAACTTTTGAACCCAAATATCGATGAAAATACTCATTTTGCCGAGACAAATCATAGGGACAGATGTAGCAAAAAATAGCTTTAATTTAAGAGCAGAACGACGTCTGTAGGCTTACTCACAAATCTTAAAAATCCAAAAATTGGAACACTTTTTAGTTCTCACAATAAATTGAGGGTAGTTAATTATTAAACAATTATTTATGTATGTTATTATTCATATTTCTTGATATTTATTAAGCATATTTACCTAGGTATTACAAGTAAGTGAATTTTGGTTTGAGTAATTCATTTGAACGCTTCTTGGGCCTATTTGATTCTATTTTACTTGGGGCCGTTTTAAATTTGGCACTATAAACGTCATCGTCTCTGATGAGTAGGATTGATGATCCCTATTGTCTCATTACATCCTTTTCAAAGACTAATGCCTTCAACCGACCCCTCTCACATTTTACCAAATACATTCCATCTCATTAAAATAAACAATTAGGCTTTTAGAGAACTAAATAGAGAAAATTTGTGTTTCCTTTTTTTTTGAGTGCGTAAACTATGTGGCCTACAGGCGTCGTTATTGTAGCGATTCTTTACGGATAGGAAACGGGATTGGCTGGATAGTCAGGGAAGTCTCCCAGTGAAACAATCCTGAGCAAATGCAAACCCGTACAGGGTACAGGGTAGGTACGCTAAAGAAACGCTACAATTTTGATACTTCTTTTAAATTATGTTTATTGTATGAAATTTACCATCTTTCGTCACCCTCATTTCCTCTCAACGCCAACCTCTGCTTTCCTAAAGGTTTTGTGATATCTAATAAAACATTAATTACGTCATGATATTTCATTTTCCTCTTCTACCATAGCATTCCGTTTTTCTTCATTAACAAGCTCCTAGCGAGTCCATGACTTTGGACTTTCTGTCCGTTCGTCCGTCTGTAAATAACTTCCGAACGGTTTCGAATTTTACAATTCTGTTTTCAGTATTTTGTTTATCATCACCCAAGGAACAACTGATTAAATGTTAAGTGACCCAGGAGCTCGTTTGCTATATTTGTTACAAGTTCATTAACGAACGACAAAAAGCGGGTTTATGATTTTGTACGTTTGTCTGTTTTTAGCAATAGGTAGACAACTGTTAATCGAATAATTGATTAAATTTTGATCAAAATTTGTCAACTGGGAGTGACTTTGTGGCTCGTTGGTAGGTACAGTTTATTTTTAGTACAGTGGTGTATTGTATCCAGCAACAGCAGAAGAAAAACATAAAGATAGGTACCTCATTAGATTCTGTATTCATTTTCAGTCTTTTATTGGCACTGGCAGCACTAAAAGGGTCCTTTGGAGCACCTACAGTTTTAATCCTGACATATATTGTTCATCGTGGACTTTTCGTTCATGCAATTGCTTGTAATCATGATTTAAAATGCCCCCACACACTGTACACTGCACCTTGTATCGCTTTCCAACATGTGGTTTCATTTCCAAATAATGATAAGCTACAAACAAGCAAAAGATCGAGATTGGGTCACTATGAAAAGTAATGACTTCACTACTTATGTCTATGTGGTGGCATTGTTTGTTTAATCGTTCATTTATTACTCAATGAGATGCAGGTATGCATTTAGTGCGAAATGAAATAGTTCTGAATAAGAGCAATTAAATATGAATGGTCTACTCACGGGTCTACTGCCTGATTTATGAAAATAAACTTCTTTGTTTGGTTGTAAAAATGTGCTTAATATGGTAGGCGAAAAATTTAAATAGGCTTACTTCAGATTACTTCTCTTGCAATTAGATACAAATTTACCAACTCAGTTCCATATTATGCCAACTACCACAAAAGTGAGGGGCCTATCGGTTCGTCCCTGGGCGCCAGACAAGCACGAAATCCTGCCAAAATGAAACTAAAAATAAAACAAAAAAACAATTCAGTATCTTAGTAATATCAATACTATAGCACCAAATTATAAAACAATAATCCGAACAGTAACGTAATTAGCTTTGGAATATAATCGATAAATGCAATAGAAAATCTTTACCAAGTAATCAATACGGACAATAGGTTCATTATCGGAGTACCCGCTACAATAAAATGAAATTAAACATATGCTGGTACGATTCACCTAGCTTACACCAACAATTGGGTTCCCATATGAATAGAGAACATGTGATATAAACCACCCTATAGCAATGAATATTGTAAACAACGGCAACATGAAAAAAATACGCTTACCCTATGTTAAAGTTTAAAAAACCCATTCACGTGAATACGTTTATATAATTAATTTCGGAAATTTTAACTTTACCCACCGTATAAAATGTAAATGTAAACACATTGGCACGGTACGACACAAGTGACTTGACGCATATATCGATCGATATCAGGCTCAATTGTGAATCTAGACCACCATGGGACACACAGAGACACATAAAAATTTCATCAAAATCCGTCCAGCTGTTTAGGAGTTCAGTCACAAACACCCGTACATATGAATGTTATATGTAAAGATAAGTAATTCAGGGTCATGTTATAGGAAAAATGTGTTATATTTGAGTCATCTTGAGTGCTGGGGCACTCGAGTTACAGCGCCCATGGCACATTTTTTAATTCGGCGCTAGTTATAAGTAATGTTTTTGAATGGAAATTGCAATAAAAGAAGTGACTTCATTTTGTTTTTTTTTTCTTTATAAGATGTGCATGCCTGTAAGAAAAAAAACTTAGACGCTACCAACTTATACGATCCGGAAGAAAGTTAATAGTTTGGGATCGAGCAAGAAAAAAAAGAGTTCGGTTTAGGCCACACTATGAGGTTAGTTTTACGCGCCAAAAAAAGAAGCAAAACAAAACAAATTCACAAGCTACTTAAAAGTTCCGCAAGAATATAAAAGTTGGGTAGGATTTGAAGATGGAGAACGCCGGGTGGGATTCGAACTTGCCACTGTATTATCAGACTATAAGTTGCAGGAAGTTAGTTACAATCCCCGGTAGAGTTATTTAGCACGAGTTTCGGGATTATGAAACCTTACTGCATTGCCAACTGTCACGAAAAACCAAGCAAACTTGGGGCATAGACATTATAAAAACCATAAATTACCCACGTCAAGTATAGCCGTCTCGTTCCATCCCCCTGCTTTGAAACTTTCATCATAAATATTTGTTAGGTTATTTGTGTTATGAATTACAGAAGTTAAGTTTCGAACTTGACTAATCCATTATTAAAATATTCCATCTTAAGGGCAGGTGACATCGCTAATTTCTCGCGTTTGACTCCATTGTTGTTTATGCATTTGATATCCGGTTGGGAGTGCGCGCGGAATTTTAATAACGAAGCGCGTTTTTTGTAAATTCGATCGGGAATTTAAAGGGCGCGGATTTCAGTTGGTTATTTATTTAGAGGCGATCGCCAGAATCTGTAAATAATTCATCGGTTTGACCAGAGTAAAAAAAAGCGAAAATGCTGAAATAAATAGCTATCTCTGCAATTCGCGACAAGAGGAGGGGCCTACACTTGATTTACCATTTGCAATTCAACCCCAAATAAACTACAAGTGAACGCTATTTGATTTCAATGATTTATTAAGCCCCGAAACAACGCTACCCATAATTTATTCAAAGAGTGTCCTAAATTCGACCACATGTACATGCAGACTACCGACAGGAGTGTTTACGTTAATTACATACGCGACGCTATCACGCGTTTCGAAAATAAAATGCGATTTTTTCCATCCCCGTGACCCATCAATCCTGCTTCTCCCGCTTTAAATGTGACACGCGAAGATTTAGGTCGGAAAATCCTCACAGATCGAGAAATGCTGAATGGACAATGATATGCAATCTGACCATTCAACTTTCGGAATTCGAAATAAGCCGCCGCCGTCGTCGCCGAAAACAAAAATATTTTATCACGCACCCCGTTATTTATATGCATTAGTTATAAGAGCGGGGCCTTTAACACCCGTTTTGACAGTACAATTTCGAAAGGGCTCCAGGCCCTCTCTTGTATCTCCCATTAAAAGAGAGGGAAAAAAGAGGCTGTTAAGTACGAGATCCACATTTGGCGTCGACCGACATATGCGAGGGTGCAATTTGTTTTAATTGCAGACCGACACGGCAGCGCGATGCGGTGGCAGATTTTCGCATTAAACCGGGATTAAAATGCTCCACATCTCCCTTCGAAACCCGTTTCATTTTTAACAGCCCTGTAAACGGAAACGCGAAACACATTTGATTTATTTATCGCTTTACATACGCCGCAAATATGAAAAAGGCTAAACAGTAGGCGCACGTGCCAAATAATTAATAGTTACAAGTTTCGTTTTGGGATTTTAATTGTGCACGTGCGTGTTCATGTCTGGATTAATTTGAAAATTGGCGACACGACACGAGGAATTTTAACGTGAAAAATAGTTTTAACGTGGCCCACCATTCAACCCAAGGTTGAGCGCCACTCAATTTTTAGCTTACCTCTCCCCGTATGAAATTGAGAAGGGATCAAAAAGAGTACAAACTAATTTAAGTACCAAAACTGTCAAACAAATATTCAATCCAAAATAAACTCCCCCAATGGGATATCGTAAACAAATATTCAAAGTACTCCAAAAATGATAACTTCAGTTACACATAAATTTTATAATTGAAATCTCCCCGTTTTATTAACCCCCAATCAAGAATGATCGATTGAATTGACTACTGAATTTTAACACAACACTTTCCACAAATAAATTTACGTTCCGAACATAAACGCTTAAATATATGGCCAAATACAAGTAAAACATAAGAAAGGCAACGCTTACCTTTATTTAAAAGGAGATGTCATCCAGAGAAGTGAGCTCAGTTCCCGAATTTCCAAAAAAAAAATTTAAAAAAAAACCTAAAAAAAATCAAATGTAACCCTCGTTCTTGATTGCCTTAAATGTACATACCTCTTTAAATAAGAGAGCTAATTATCGATGAATGCAACAGTTCTCGATGGAAAATTACCAGCAGCAACCTAAATGAGATATACGTCAAGCAGATTAAATGCAAATGGCGTACTTACAATGAAGGAGAACAACGCAACTATATCCTCCTACTGGAGAGAAGGGGTGAAATTCCATTCTCGAATTGGTGCGAAATCCCCCAATTAACCGAATTTAATCGCCAAGTATTAATACATATGGGTGGCGGCCATTAAAATTCCATGCGTTTCCCTGTTTGATTAAAAATCAAGTGCACTCTGCCACAGCTGACGAACGAAAGAGGCAAATGAATTTTAACCATCGATAACGAGAAATCGCCGTCCCGGCGCCGTAGAATTTTGCGCTGGAAGTTGCGTGTTTGAAAGTTCCACGGTTAAAGCTGTTACAAGGATCATTCAACAAGTAAATATACTGGGAGCAATAATAATAATTCAAATGACGGAAATAAACGTTTCATGTACAGGGTGAGTCAACGATTGCGCGGTGTAACTTAATGCTTTGAAGATAAGATGTTTCGATAGAGTGCTTTTGTATTATGATATGGTTGAATATTCTCTACATTTTAAAAATATTTGGAATTATACAGGGTGCGTCCACCAAGTAGGGCGCCCAAATGGTACATTTTTTAAAATAGAACCTTCTGTGTGCATTTTGCATGCATTTTTGAATTCTACGTGTAATTGTATGTCTTGTTCCTTGTTGTTCTTAACTTTCAACGTATTCACCAACGACTGTGGGAAAATGGAAGTTTTAAAAAGTGGATAATGGGCGGCCTATGGTAGTTGCAAATCCTGAACTAGAAGAAGCTGTCCTCAACGAAATTGAACAAAATCCGACCACAAATACCAGAAAAATGTCTCACAACTTAAACATACCTCACTCGACGGTGTGAAGAATTTTGAAAAGACAACTTTTGTATCTCTACCATATCCAAAAACCTTATTGCCAATAGATTTTCCGCCAAGATAGGCTTTTTGGATGCACGACAAAATAGCTCAAAATCCTCAGTCTTGAGCCGAAGTTCTGTTTACCGATGAAGCATCTTTCTTGGGAGATGTGTAGTGTACTTATCCCCCAGGTTCTATGCTAACTTCACACTATAAGAACACGGAAATAAAGTCAACCCGGCAACGTTTAAAAATGACCACGCGAATGAAGATTCCCTCCAAAATAAAACAAGATCCCGCTTATATTTGAAAAGTGGCACGTGATAAAACATCTAAGGCAGGGTCCCCTTACGTTAGTTGTAAACAACACTTTGACCTGAAGCACAGTAGGGAAGGAACGTAAAATAAAACCCTGAAATTGTGAAAAGTTTATTTAATAAAGATCGTTATTATTAAGATTGTGAAAGCCCGCGGAAATTTAGTTGATGTACATTAATGTAAGCAAAGCAAGCAAAGCCAAAAGGTGTCGTACTCTCGCAAAAGTAACTGCCAAGGGTAAAAAGAGTACGACGTAGGAAATCCTCGCAGTTTGATTAATACAGTCCAAAAGTTAGTTAACAAAATAATTTGTAAAAGTTTAAGCAGTAGTTAACAAATATAGTAAATGCATATACACAATGTTGGTTACACTCAAGGATAAAAACAAATTTTTGGGAACAATGGGGCAGGCAAGCAAGTACCTAAATTCTGAGAGATGGTGAAGAGTATAGGATGTGACTCTTCTTTGGTGCAATAAAGCCCTTTTGTTAAAAGCAAGATGGAAAATTACATGCAGTCCCATGTGACCGTCTCTTCACGGCGAAAATGTTAGTTTACAAAAAAAAAGTCCGTACGCATACACACCTTAATACTGATCAAAACTGATATGCTTATTACTTCTCGGATAAGACCAAGTAATCAACACATAAACACAAATTAAGCAAATATTACATCAAAAACGTAAATGATTACAAACAAAAGGATAGCGGTATCAAACATGTAATTCTGCATTGAGGTTAAACCAAGTAAATTTCAAAAACAAAGATTGAAACACACACAAAATACAAAATGCGGCATACAAAACACAAATACGGTATAAAGATATAAAAGATGCTAAAGTATAGTAATCTACTAGACCGTTTTATTTTCTACCCTTTCGGTATAGAAACACTTGGCGCTTGGGGTCCTCTGCAAAAAAAATTACATCAGAAAGTAAAAAAATTTTTGAAAAAACACAAGAGAAACATTGTTTTGAATTTTAAAAACAAAGATTTAGTTTAGCTGTTCAGCAGGGAAATGCGGCTTGTATTTTAGGCACTTTACCGCAACAGACAGCATTTAATGAAATTGTTTATATTTTAAGTAAGTATACGGTAATTTTTTAAAAATGTTTTCTAACAATTTTATTTGTAATATTTTAATGTTGTAACCTTTTGTTAAATTCATAAATATAATATTTTGATATTAAAAAAAAAATATAAAGAAATGCAAAAATTACTTATCAAATAATATAAAATAATTATTATTTAATTATTATTAAATAACACAAAATAACAACAAACATTTATGGAGTGATGCGTTCTCGCCCGCCATTCAAGACAACATGCCCAACGTAACCAACGTTCGTGCTCTCCAGATGGCGCAAATCGCTTTCCTCTCCTAAAAATTGCGTGGTTGCCAACTCTAAAAAATGTGTGCATCGTCGTAAGTTGTATATACGGGGTGGAGCCTCTCAGATGGTACTTTCAATTTTCGCAATACCCACATATGGGCTGAAAAATCCACATGAAATTACAGAAGGCCATCATCAGCAACAATTTTCTTTAAATGTTTGGGCTGGCATCGTCGGTGATCATTTGATAGGCTCACATTTCTAGAAGAAGTACTGCCGGAACTGCTGGAAGAGGTACCGCTTCAAGTAAGACAAAACATGTACTTTAATAATAATAATAATTGTCATTTATTGAAGGATAACACTGTACATACTAATAAACAGAATTCATTACTATTGAATAGAAAATAAAAACGTCAGTCACCTTCAATAGGGCGAATTTCAGGTTTATGAATAGGAAGTTTCATAATCTGCTCTTCCACTTAACCCTAATACTTAATAATTTTTAATGAAAGAAAGAATACGTCCTGAGTACAAAATTGAAATTATATTAGTTGATTTAATATGAATTAGTTGATTTTTTGATTGATTAGTGGCGTGCCATTTGCAATAAATGGCAATAATAGTTCATAGATGAAGAATAGAGGAAGTTAATTTATAAAAAAAGAGAAAAATATAAACATAAATAAAAAAAAAAAAACAAAAAAAAGAAAGAAGAAGAAGTTGTATTGTATGTTCTAACGTTTAAATAAATTGTGTTTAATTAGTAAAAAAATGTTTCAAAAAGTTGGCCATTTTTCCAACATAAAAGTTGATTTTTACCGAAAACGGTCAACTTCAGAGCTTATGACAAAGAAATCATTTTTTATGGCGGTTCAAGTGGGCGTCTTAAAACCGTACTTTTTCCAGTGGTGTCGAAGTTGGGGAGAAACACCCACTACCCCTTCAAAATCTTCACCTACTATGGCTTTAAAAATTTTTTTCGTACAAAACATAGTTTGTTATGAGTAGAAAATGCTTACAAAAATTGTTTTCTGTACGATAAACGGTGCCGGAGATATTCGCAAAAAACGGATTCTCTTTTCAATTTCAACCCCCTGTATCTAAAAAATTTTGCATTTTAGAGGGTAGGTAGAAACTATTTTTCTAATTTTTGGACGAGCTATCGCTACATTTAATAATGACTTTTTGACAATATACTCATGAAAATTTGAAAGCTTTATGATAGCACTAAGTCAGCGTTTCACTCATAATCGTAAGGGACTATTATATTCGCAATACACAAGCGAATTGTGTGCTTGAAATAAAAAAAGGCAATTCAAATTTAGTACTGTTTTAAAAGCTGACGATACTTCGTGTATCACAGGTAGAATACTCAAAACGGAAGAAAGCTATTGAACTGAATTTCTAATGGAACGTACAACTGTTCATTGGAATATAAGGGCGAATCGGAAAAACAGGAAGGGAATAATACTAATATAAATAAGTCTAGTTGCTCCAACGAAAATTTATTAGACTCTCTCCCTCGTGTTTTCTATCAGTATTTAAATTAGTTCCAGCTTACGGGTTTAGAAATTTACGTAAATACGTAACCAATACATCGGCTCTACCTTTAAAAGGTTTCGAAAATTTATTATGGTTACGTTTTAAGTTTCCACATTAAGTTTATTTATTAGGCTTGGTGTAGAGAGAGCTTTTGTATATAATTTGATCGTTGTATACATTTTGGAGGTGAAGCTCCTTTGAAAGCTCAAGTGTGCAGTCACGTTTGCACTCGTAAAATGCACTCTCCCGCAGGTCTTACTTTAAAGTAGATATACATCAAGCCACAAGCTTTTCGCCTTTCTTTTTGCAACATAACGAAAAGAAACTTTTGTTAAACTCAATAAAGCTCTAAGCTTAGTCATCAGAGACAGGATGGGAAGGAAAGCTTTTTATTTTTATATCTGCCACCCTGTGAAAGTAGGTACACTTAAGTAGGTAGTTAGCGACGGATTATACACTGTTCCTTGTTATACGGTCTGGTTACTTTTTGAGAGACACTTCCGAAGTGGCGCTGCGTCAATTCCCTATTTTTATCGAAAGCGAACGCCACAGCGCTCATAAAACCGTCAATTAGAATTGGCACTGGAAAAAGCAACTGCACAAGCAAATAAAAACAATTTACGTTTCCGCCATCCACCCACCTTACGGCGAAACATTTGTTTTCGGCTTTTAGGTGGCGGTAATAAACAGAAGAGCATTCTTTTATCTGTAGTAATTCAAGGAGATAAAAATAAATTTAACAACACTAAAGTCAAAAATAAGGAAGTAAAATTGCCCATAAAAGGAAATTTCTTGCACTATCGTCAAGGACATTTAATCGTCCTTTACTACTTTAATCTAAAGTAAAACTGATTTACATTTAAGTGTATTTAAATTCTCGTTCTCCCAAAGCGATTTGCAGGAATTTCACGTAAAAGTTTGATGTTGAGGAATTCCGTTTAGGGGAAAACACGACGGTTACAGGCGGCATTATCCCATAATCGAACTCGATTCTCCAAATGAAGTCGACTCGTAAAAAAAAACGTTTGCCAATTTAATTTCATGTAAAATTCTAAAATGTAAACCGAAAATGTGAAATATTATACTGTCAATAACGTTTCGCTGATTGAATCCTATCGGTTTTCTGCGTATACGCATACCTGAAAATTGAAATGTTTTTAAAATTGGATCGCTATGATGTAAATCGGCGTTTCTTTCGCATCTCAACTGAAGCTGACAGGGAGATTGTCGAAGCAATAATTTTGAGAATATCTCGAGGATATTTTTGGTAAGGTACCAATGTCATAATGCGTTCCGGCACAGAATTTCCTTTCACTCTAGATCGAAACTACTTTATTTTGTACCTACTATCACGATTTTAGACAAGCATCCGAAACGAAGGCGTAGCAGGACTAATCACGCGCAAGGTTAGGAAACCGACGAAAACAACATGAATCTAGAATCGTTAAACGAATCTCAAACAAAGGTAGTAACTACAATTGAATCATATCGAAAACCAGTAAATAAACAAACGCTTTATCGAGGAGTCATCGAAAATTAAAAAAACTTACCACTGAACTTCGGATCGCAACCATGTGGGCTCAAAAGGGCGCGTTCGCATAATCTGTAACAGATATCAACATAAACACCGGTAGACATGAGGGGTAGTGAATAGCGCGGCACTTAAAATATTGCGAAAGCAATTCTAACGTATGACACGTATAACGGGAGGGTAGAGTTTCTAAGCTTTGTTGAACTTATCAAGGGTCGAGCGCCACTAATTTTCTAAGTTAACTCTCCCCGCGTGAAATTGAGAAGGTACGGGGTTATTACAAAGAGTACAAATCAATTTAAGAACTCAAATAAATGCTGGTTTATTGGCATTAAATGGCAAAATAAAAATGGTCCCCACAATGGGATAATGTAATACACAAATATCCACATGTTCAAAATTATGAGATACGTTACACAAAAATTTTAATAACTTGATTTTACAATTGAAAGATACCAGTTTAACAATGCTCCAATCAAGAATAAGCATTGATTACTTGAAACATAAAAAGGCAACGCTTACCTTAATGTAAGTTGGACGTCACCCAGAGAAGTGTACTCAGTTCCCGGATTCATAAACCTGCAAGCAAAAGAAAACTTTCAAGCCGCAGAGCTCGGAATGCAATTGAACAATGTCTCGGCCTCAAGGGTCTCGTCTTACTTGTAGTGAGCTTCTATCACAAGCACGATCATGATTGGGCCAACGGATTTAGAAGGAAGTGGAGCGCAGCCAGTAGCATACGCGAGTCTGATTCGATCATCACTAAACAGACATCTCAAGATAATAAATAGATAGATACTGACGTTAACAAAATTACCCCGTGATGTAATCTCAGCAAATGGCGGCTCCTTAGCAGATGCTAATTCTGTCAAAAATGGTTACTCAGATACTTATGTAAAACGTATCCGAAATTATACTTAAAATTGAATTGGAACTGTTCCTTAAACTGGTACCATAAATTAAAATAGACTTGAACTTGAAAATAGAATTTGAAATTAAACTTGAATCCAAAATTGAAATTGAAACGAGAAATTAAATCCCTAAAAGGAAATCAAAGGTAACCCTCTTCGTTGATAATGCCCATACCTCTAATTATAGATGAATGTACAATGTGTAAATGCAAATGGCGTACTTACATAGAAGAAGCAAAAAAACGCAAAGATATTCTGCTACTATTGGATTTAGGGCGAATCCGTTCATACAATGATGGGGAATCCTCAATTAAATTAATTTAATCGCCAAAAATTAATAACATATGGGTGGCGGCCATTAAAATCCCATGCGTTTTCAAAACTAACGCCTTAACTAACGTGCACTCGGTCACAGCTTGCAATCGAAAGAGGAAAATGAATGTTGACCATCACCGATAACGACTAATCGCAGCGCTGCAAAAAGTTCGCGCTAAAATTGCGTATTTAAAATTCCAAGGTTAAGACTGTTACGAGGATCATTCAAGAAGTAAATATTGCCTGCTTTGTAGTGAAGAAAATAAACCGTTACACACCAAGGAAAATCGGATACTAAGCCATAATTAATCCTAAATAAGATTCAATAATTCAACTTAAATTAATTAGATTTTGTCTTGACCATGGATTGCCCGTACAATCCGTAATTTAATTATGTACAAAAACATGAACCTGACGTTAACTTCAAGAAAACTACTTTACGATGCACAAATGACTAACTTTCTATACAGTCAATGCAATGCAGTCAATTCAAAATGTAAACAAGGTAATATGAACAAATCCTTGAAATAAAACAAGGACAGTAGAAAAGTAATGGCGTACCAAAGCAACAATTTAAGAAGGGGTAGAATTAGAAATACTACGAAAAACATCTGCCCGACTTCCATCGGCAAAACTAAGAACTATTGTAATAAGAACCTGCAGGATATGGCCTTTATCCCTCCTGTTTATATGCCCCAAATATCTTAGCTGCCTCACCTTCAGTCTCCTGATGATCGTCTTTCCCTCTATGGTCTTTGGTCTTTGTTCTCCAATGCCCCAAATCTCGCCCCCAATCTCTCAAGGTGCCTCATCTTCTGTCCCTTGGCGATCGTCTTTCTTTCTGCCTTATCTGCTTTCTTGTGAGGTTGATGTTCCATGTCCATTATGTATCCTTAGTGCCTTCCTTTCGCTCTCCTCAATGTTTGTCTGTTGCTCTTTGTTAGCGCTGAGGTGTTCAGGGAAGTGGTTATTGCTTCATGCTTCACTTGATCTGCCTTTTATGAAACCTGCGTGGTATCCTGGTGTCTTGGATGTATGGCCATTGGCCATCCAGGCACTGTCTGCTACCATTCTTTGGAGACCAAGTTCCTGATCCATAACTCCTGCATTAATTAATGTAGATCCTTTATTTCCATTTTAATGCGTATTGTACCAATTCGGTCCGGACCTTACCCTGCCCTGGCATTTTCTCCTTTTGCAGTCTTCCTCCATCATTTCATCTATCGTGGGGGGTGGCAGGAGTGGCCAGTAATCGTTCTCCTCTATTAGCTAAACCTGTGCTTCTTGTTGCTCCTTGAGGAGTTTCTCCCATGTGTCATTTGTACATATTTTTCAGTTCCCCCTTGTTTCCTCTTGCTGTAATTTTTTCATGTGCTTATACATTTTTTGCGCATTGCTCTCCATGGGGCTAAGCTTGGCGATATTCTCTGCAAACACGGCGATTTCCTTGATATCATGTTGTTCGAAGGCTCTATTTTTCTCCTCTCTGGCCTCCCTCAGCTATTTCTTTGCTTCAGGTTGTGTGGGATTGCTCTGCTGTGGTTATCCATCGCTTGGGTCCTGTTCGGTAACATGGGCGGTCTATGCCCTCCCCCACGTGTGTTTCCTGCTGCTTCCTTGATCTTTTCGGCGATCCTGTTCCAAGATGGTCTTCCTTTCCCCTTGTTGTTCCTGACCTCGTCTTGCTCCTTTATATACAACCAGAACTGGGCAGTATTCGATTTTGTAAATACTTTTTAGTATTCAAATCCTTTAAAGTATTCAAATACTTTTATGGAAGCAGTATTTGTTTTTGTAACTAAAATACTTTCACAAATATTTAGTATTCCAACCCTTCGCATAGTATTTGAATACTTAACCTTCCTTTTTTTTTTACCAAAAATCGACTACTCCAAAATTTCTCGGGAAAACACTTTTTCTTATTAATTTTGGTGCGTAGAATCCAAAACAATTCGTACTTTTTCGATCAGACTTCTCAATCAAAAGTTATAGACTAGAAACCAATTTCGAAAGAAAATTCAAAGGGCTGTAACTTTTGAACTAGTAGCCCAATCTTGGAACTGTTTGAAATTATGGATTCTACAGGCCACATTCTATAAGAAAATTTTTTTCCGGGTCGATCTGAGACAATTTTTTTTTCGGGCCTCAAAAAAAGGCAGTGTATAACCTTCCTTTTTTACCAAAAATCGACTGCACCAAAATTTCTCGGGAAAACACTTTTTCTTATTAATTTTGGTGCGTAGAATCCAAAACAATTCGTACTTTTTCGATCAGACTTCTCAATCAAAAGTTATAGACTAGAAACCAATTTCGAAAGAAAATTCAAAGGGCTGTAACTTTTGAACTAGTAGCCCAATCTTGGAACTGTTTGAAATTATGGATTCTACAGGTCACATTCTATAAGAAAATTTTTTTCCGGGTCGATCTGAGACAATTTTTTTTCGGGCCTCAAAAAAAGGCAGTGTATAACCTTCCTTTTTTACCAAAAATCGACTACACCAAAATTTCTCGGGAAAACACTTTTTCTTATTAATTTTGGTGCGTAGAATCCAAAACAATTCGTACTTTTTAGATCAGACTTCTCAATCAAAAGATATCGACTAGAAACCAATTTCGAAAGAAAATTCAAAGGGCTGTATCTTTCGAACTAGTAGCCCAATCTTGGAACTGTTTGAAATTATGGATTCTACAGGCCACATTCTATAAGAAAATTTTTTTTCGGGTCGATCTGAGACCATTTTTTTTTCGGACTCAAAAAAAGGCAGTGTATAACCTTCCTTTTTTTCCAAAAATCGACTGCACCAAAATTTCTCGGGAAAACACTTTTTCTTATTAATTTTGGTGCGTAGAATCCAAAACAATTCGTACTTTTTCGATCAGACTTCTCAATCAAAAGTTATAGACTAGAAACCAATTTCGAAAGAAAATTCAAAGGGCTGTAACTTTTGAACTAGTAGCCCAATCTTCAAACAGTTTGAAATTATGGACTCTCGATCGATCTCGATCTCAGACAATTTTTTTTCCGGCCTCAAAAAAAGGCAGTACTTTTAAGTTATTCAAATATTTGAGAACAATTTAGAAATGTTTAGGGAAAGTTTCCATTGTCACAAAATCAAATATAAAAATCCGATACATCTGAATACCGAACTCGATAGTCTACGTAACTTAAAAACAATAGGGACCTTTCTTATATCCTTAAGACCTAAGTTATCATGCACACGGACAAACGGATGGTCAAAAATGGATCTGTTGAAAGTATTCGAATACATTCTAAAGTATTTGAATAATTATTTTTTTAAGTATTTGAATACTTTTCAATGTATCTGTCTGTATCTAGTATTCGCTTGTGCTGGACGTAAAAGTATTTAGTATTCAAATACCTTTGATTTGTGTAAAGTATTTACTATTTAGTATTCAAATACTTTTTGAAAGTATTCTGCCCAGCTCTGTATACAACTCCATTTTCATCTTCCCTTTCACAAGTTTCACATCCCACCTTCCAGTTCTTTGTTCCCTGTCCTTTCCTTCTTTTTCGTCGCCCTCCCCCCTTATGATCCCACTGTTCGGACGCATACTCCTACTGTGTTCGTGAGGCTTATTTTCTTTGATTTGGTCCTCACTATGTGGTCGATCTGTGATTTAAAGTTTCCCCTCCTCCATGTTGTCAGCACCATTTTGGATTTGGTGAATGTGTTTTCCACCCTAAGTCTATGTTGTTCTTATCCTGGGTTCCTTTCCTTCCCTTCCATCTAGTCTACCTAGTGGCGCTTTGAAATCACCTAATATGATGCCCGGGTATCTTCCGCTCCTTTGCTCTTTGAGTTCCGCCTATCCTCTTTTGTCCGAGGGAATGCCTCGGTGTTTCCCGATTACGATTGCTGTCCCTCTGCTGGTTCTCTCCTTCTTCCCTCCTCCTATCCACCAGTCGTAGTTCCCGGTCGCGGCCATCCCACTTGCTAGTTTGGTTTCCTGTAGGCTGACTACATTTATTCCCTGTTTTCTTAATTCGTCGTCAATTATATCCCTTTCCTTTTGGTCGTATGCCTCTTGTACGTTCCACGTGGCTAACCTCACGCTGTTCCCTCCTTTTGTTATCCTGGTTATTCCCGCTCCTCCTCGGCGGGGCACTCCCTCCTGGATACCACAGTCAGACTATATTCGTACGGCAGCTCCTATCGCTTCCTCGTATTTCTCCAGCACCCTTGTTTTCCGGAGTTTCTCCTCTTTTTCTACCTCCCTATCATGTTTACCGCTCTTACCAGGCTGTCGTAGTGGTTCCGGACACTGTTACTCCTTAGTCTTTATGCTATGTAGTAGAGGTCACTACTACATCGTCGTCCCCGTTATAGCTCG